CTTTCCCATGCAAACCCACGCTGCCTATCGCCAGCAAGTCTATTCACTTCCAAATGTGGATAAATCCTGTCTCTTAGTATGTTCTCCAACAGCTTTCCTGCCACTGATGTCAGGCACATCAATGAATTTTTAAAATTGAAACATTGCTTAACCAGGGCCTGCGTGGATCAGTGAACACAATAATGAAGGGTGAACAGGATTTCCCGTGTTGTATCATGGGCAGCAGAGTTTTGGATGACCTTCAGTTAACAGAGGGTAGAATGTGAGAGACCAGGCACAAACATGCTCGAAACATTAGGTCTATGAATGAAAGATTGTAATTGTTTAAGTGTCAAAACCTTATATTTACAGATTTTCTCTTGCGTTGGTACAATTCCTGATTGTAATTTTCATTATTTCTACAGTTAAGTATGAAGTATTATCGCATATATGGTATTCTTTAATGCTATTAAAATTGTTTGAAATAGAATTAGCTGCTGACTGAGAACAAAGCATTTTATTAGCAAAATGTAACTAACCTAAGCGAACACAAGGTTTCTGTTGGGCAAGAAGGTTTTCCCTAGTAATAATGATATTTTATGATCCATAAACCATAACATTAAGATTCAATGGCTCAACAATGTATACAGTCAGCAAGATTATGTTCCATTTAAGATTTTATGACCCTCAATGCCTGAAAATGCTCACTTCCTGATAATTCTGTCATTTTTCAGCAATCGACATTGAAACTATTGCCAGTTTATATGACATATCTAATGTCATTTGTCTTCATTTGACTCATTCTTTTGCCCCCCTCAACTGTTTTATTCCATATCCTATTTGATTTTTGGATAACATTCTCTGAACTCATTAGAATCTGAAATGGTAATGTATTGCAAGCTAATAAAACCAATAACAGATGCCTGCTGTGAGTGCTTGTGGCAGATCCCTGGCCCAAGTCATGGAAGTCTAACTAAATTCTGTTGGGTATGGATGCCAATTCGTTTTTGTATTCCTTTATAAGGCTGACAAGCAAATAAAACAAGAAAAACTAAGATGTGATATGCTGCAGTACTTTGCACAACATCCTTCATTTTCTTAAATAAAATGTTTTCAGGATGTGAGTGACTCTGGCAAGACAACATCTACTCCCAGCCCGAGTCCCCAAAAAGGCAGCGCTAAGTCAACTCCTCTGGAATTTGTTTTTAGTTACTGAATGTTAACCCCATCCTGGTCACACCTAAAACTAGCCAGACTGTAAAAGGATGCTAATAATTTCTCAAGCCCACTCTGAATCCGTAATGCAGGTTCCCTAAGGATAGTCTGCTAATGAAGGAAAACTCATCCTTTTATGTGGATGCACTTTGCAGTTGACTAGATCTATATTGCTACTTAACTAGACGTCAGTGTACATCAATGCGCTCAGGTATTTTGGATGACCAGGACTTGCTCTGAGTTAGGTTACAGTTAATGGAGTTTTAGATTCATTTAAATTAATGAAGGTTAAAACATGTGAAGCCAGTCAAGAATAATCAAGCCTATAACTGAAAGGTCATGTGGTAGTTCAGGTGTAAAATCCTTCTGATTTCTAGCATGGGTAGATTTTGATATTATAAATGGAGGAATTTTTATTTCTGCAAATTAACTAATTGTTACCCTTTATTGTCGATATATAGTGTGTTCTGATATATAGAGTTTAGTAAACATAACTCTGGTTGAAGTACCTGATTGCAACATATGATCCAAAACACAATGCAGTGTTTGGTTTATTTTATAATGTAAAGAATGCAGATAACAGCCTCTCTATTTTTTGTTTTTAATTTCAGTTGATATTTGGTCTGTTGGTTGTATTTTTGCTGAAATGGTCACCGGCAAGATATTGTTCAAAGGAAAAGATTGTATCCTTTATCATAAAAACCGAAAGAACTGCGGATGCTGTAAATCAGGAACACAAACAAAGTTGCTGGAAAAGCTCAGCAGGTCTGGCAGCATCTGTAAGGGAAAAAACAGAGTTAACATTTCATGACCTGTGACCTGAGAAAGGGTCACCGGATCCGAAACGTTAACTTTGTTTTTTCCTTCACAAATGCTGCCAGACCTGCTGAGCTTTTTCAGCAACTTTGTTTATGTATCCTTTATCATGCCCTTGTGATGTAACTCAAGTATCCATTATGAGCCACGCAGATCTGGAACATATCAAATTCACATATCTGGTCTATGCTGATCTTTGTTGGGTTTTTGATAAATATGCAACATTTTTTGTCCATGGAACAAATTACCCCATATTTCTTCAATACGTTGCTGTCCACTAATTCCTGCTGAATGATGTACATATGTAGATGTCTCATGAGGACAAACTTGACTTGGCAAAATGGTCTCCTGAAGTTAAATTGCCATTATTTTGTTAAAACACACAGGTGAGGAGAGGTAACACAGTGTGGAGCAGGAGGAACACAGCAGGCCGGGCAGCATCAGAAGAGCAGGAAAGTTGACGTTTCAGGTTGGGACCCTTCTTCAGAAAAGCTGTTTCTCCATCTCCACACTGTTTTAACTCTGACTCCAGCATCTGCAGTTCTTACTATCCCCAGGTGAAGAGAAGACATTTAATGTACATTTATACAACTTTTGGGTTGAGGTGCAGAAATGTTGCATGGACTGATGCTACAGTTAAAGTGTAAATGCGGCCTGAATCTTAATCTGGACCTATCAGATGCTGCAGCAGAATCATGGAACCTATGAACCAACGTGAGTCCATTATTTCTGCAGACAAGTGGAATAAATTGAAACTGAAAATTGGTATCACCTCAAGAATGCAATAATCTGGGAAACACAGAGAAATATATATCCCCCTGTTTTTTGCACTTGTGGGTTTTCCATTTCTTCACATTAAAACTGTTATTAATTGCTTTCTGGACATTTTGCATTTCTTATTGGTTCAGGTGCTTTATTTAACTTGTGTATTTGTTTTTTGCTAAGGCCTTTAGGGAGATTATTCTTGTTTGTCTCTCCACCAACTTACTATACTATGTGTTTGTGTCAGAAATCGGCATATTATTGTTTAACCTACTTTTGTTGACAATTTCAGACAAATTAAGTATTTGGTAAATGCTTGTTTTATTAGCATTCATTGATTCTTGACCAAAAGAACTAGATCTTGATCAGCTAGCACAGATTATGAAGGTAACAGGAACTCCTGGTACTGATTTCATTCAAAAATTAGACAGCATTGAGGTAATGCAAAATTTCTATTATTTTACAAATTGCTCATACATCAAACTTCAATTTGATACAGAACATTTTAGATTTTGCAATACTTTGTTCCATTATTAATACTGTTCACAGATTTTTCTTGGATATTTTGAAGGTGAACTATAACAACAATACAAAGTGCTTGATCATTTGATTTAAAGAACAACTTTTGGGCCTGTCAATGAGCATCTGTTAAGAATTACAAATTTGGTCAATTTCTGCACAAGGACCTTAAATCTCAACTAATTTACACTCCTATTTCCAGGACAATTCATGGAAAATCAGCCCTGCCATGCAAAAGATCAGGAAATTTCTGGCACAGATTACGTGCACATAAATCCAGTTTCTGCAATATTTTGCACTCATTTAAAAATAGGTGCTGAAAGCCATTGCCAGCTTCAAAGCAGACCAGGTTCCATGTTGAATGTATCATCATGCATAGAATTTTAGAGTTAACAAGAAGAAAAAAAAAATTCTGAAAGTAACTGTTGGGCAACATGGCGACTCAGTAATTAGCACTGCTGCCTCACAGCACCAGAGATCCGGGCTCAATTCTAGCCTTGTTGGCTTGGAGTTAGCCCATTCTCCCTGTGTCTTCATGGGTTTCCACTCGCTGCTCTGGTTTCCTCCCCAGTCCAAAAATGTTGCAGGTTAGATGGATTAGCCATGCTAGAATTGTCTGTAGTGTTCAGGGATGTGCAGACTAGGTAGATTAGCCATGGGAAATGCAGAGTTAAGGAGATAGAGTGAGGAGGTGGGTCTGGGTAGGATGCTTTTCGGAGAGTCAGTGTTGATGTGATGGGCCGAATGGCCTCTTTTCGCACTGTGGGGATTCTGTGAATCTATGAAAAGATTCATGGTGATTCACTCAACTCACCAGCAATTAATGGCTGCTTAAGGCCCTGAATGTGCCACCTTTGCAACCACCTACCTCCATGAAGGGCAAGGAAAGTGGCTCAAGTGGAGAGTGTGGGTGTGTGTGTGTGCGTATGTTCATATGTGTCTGTGTGTTGTGTGGGTGTGTGTGTGGGTGTGGGTATATGGGTGTGGGTGGGTAGCTAACTGGATAAGATGGGTTGGTTGGCCTCTGAAAGACAAGCCCTTGCCCTTGCTTTTGACGACCTTCTCCCTCCAACAAGAAAATAAAAGTCACTTAGCTTCTCACTGTTGGATACCCTCTGGAACAGGCCTTGACTGGCAGGCCTTAGGACTCAGCACGCCTGTATCGAATTTCCTAACAGGATGGGGTACTTGCCTTTGTTGCCTATCAGTTTTTAGATGTGACCAGCATTTTCCTCAACAACCCAACATTGTCAACCCTACACTTAGGACAAAAAAGGGAAAACATTAGTACAGGGCAAATTTTTGCTATTACACCTGTTTGTGAGACTTCGAAAAAGCAATTGAAATTAAGCCACTTCACACAAAAAGGCATTAATCAGTACCTTTTGAAAGCTCTCAAAACTGGCAAATGCTTCTGTATGTTTCTAAAAAGTCTTTTTCAGTTATCTAAAATTGTGATATGGCTGGTAGTCTAAATACCGATTTTTATTTTTAAGTGATGAACTCATTTTCAGCTGTATTTATCAAGCTACACCAGGTTACCATTTTTTAAAATATTAAGGAATTACTTGCAATGCAATTTTTTTAAAAAATGTAGCCTAAAATGCAGTACAATTGCACTAGTTCATGAACGATTTAAAGTGCAGTGAAATAAGAGTACAATCTTAAGTAAAAATTTAATTTGCAAAACTAGCAAAACATTGAGGCCAATTTTCACCTGGATCACTGATTATGTCCAAGAGCAAGTATACAGTACACCTTTACGAGAAATGTTCATGGTATTATCACTGTATCACACAGCATAGGATCTGAGGATATAAAGTTCTCAGTTTCCACCTTAACTGTGGCCACTTGAAGCAAGACATGCTGGTGAAAGCGTGCCACTGTTGTAACCAAGATACTTAGTATTAGCCCATACACTGAAGTGACTCTTAATGTAATTTGTGGATATACCAGAAGCTGTAATAAACATTAAATCTTGCTGAAGGCAAAAGCCAACAATACGGCGGCAGAACAGACACTCCTGCCCATTATTTTCAAATTAATTCAGTCAGTTTAGTTTGTACTTAATGTGTGGATTTCCGTTTGTTCTTAAGTCATTTTCCTTCGGTGCTCTAATAATCTCTAATGTACTATTTCTTCATGATGACAGTGTTCTTTCGTTTTAAATGTTTGAATAATTTTGTAATTCACTTTGCTTATTTAATTTTCAATACTTCCTTTTATACTTACTCCCTAAGACTGATTTCTCCCTTAGTAACTCTTTTTCTCAGTTGTCTTCTCCCTGTCTTTTGCCGATTTGTAGCTTTATTTGTTCCATACATTGAACATTCCCACATTCGTAGGTTTCAAGTTGGCTCCTCTAACATGAAATTAGATTGTTTATTGCTGGGCTTTTCTGTAAACTCTGAAGACATTCATTTTTCATTTTTAGGCTCGACATTATATCAGATCTCTACCCTACATTAAGAAAAAAGATTTTGCATCCCTATTCCCAAATGTCAGTCCTTTGGGTAAGTTACGTGTTCACACATAAATATAGTTAATTTAATTCATAACCTTGGCTAAAGCGCTTAAAAACCTGTTTTTCCTCACTGTGAATAACCACTTGAACTCATTTACAATTCTAAACTTTGCAACTTGGTGAAATTTGCATGGTCAAAACTTGAAAAACTTTTACAAGTACTGATTTGTGTGACACATTAGCAGTGGGAACTTTTTTTAACTTCAAACATCAAGTTTGAAAACTAGAATTCTTATCTGTGGCTCAGCCGGACCACAATCATGTCATGGAAATGGCTGAGGCAATGATTACATGTAAAATAAAACCATTCTGTGTAATCCCAGCACTGTGGAAAGTTACTGAGGTGTTACATTGAATTTTCATTTTTGTTACCATTTTTGTATGTAGTCCAAAGGTGCAAAGACCTGCTAAAATATTAAGTAATGTTTGTCCGTTGTCATGGAAAAACATTGTGGATATTTAATTAAAAACATTTAAGATACTTCTGTTTAAATTTTAAATATCGAAATGTTTTGGAAGGACTTTTTGTTCCTGTATTTTCCATAAGACTATAACAGTCCTTCTCATGTTATACTTAAGGCTATGGATATACTGCACCAGCAATTTGAGAGCAGTCGATATGTGTGATGCTCGGCTGGTAAGATCAGTTATATTGTGGACTGTGACAAATATATGCATGTACACAGTCAGACAGAATAGGGCTGTAATGAAGCAGACGACAAAAAACCAATACATTTGTGTACACATTTCGCTGTTGCAGCAGCCTTTTTTATGTTTGGAGGGAATGACTGGGGATGGACCTCCAGTTGTAAATGTATACTTATTTTTTGCAAATTTACACTCCTTCCCACACAGTTTGTTCAGTTTGATGAGCTGGTTTTACCTGTTTGGATTTTGAGGCTGACTTGTTCTTCTTTTTAGTGCATTTGGTTTTATTTCAATCCACCAATAATTGTATGATTGACAGCTCCAAAACCAAACCCAGTGGTTCCCCCACGCCTGAAATTCTGGAGTTTCAACAGGTAAAAACAATGAACGCAGAGCTGGGTGACCAGGAAATGAACAGATTGGCAGAGGATAGGACCAATAGATCAGCCACCGAGTGTAAAGAAGTAAGAAAATAGAGGTAGCTGCCACATAAACACCACTTTTCCCAGCTCAAATGTTCTCATCACTTCTGGCTTAGATATTCTTTACCACTGATTTCTGATCTTAAAATGTTAATTACACCAACACTGCTGACTTCTGTCTCCCACCTCTCAAAGGCTGAGATAGAGATGTTGGGTGGTGGTAATGGGGAAGGAAACATAAAACTTTTGAATAATGAGGAAGAAGTTGAATTTGTCTATTTTTCACAGGATGTCCCAAGAAATTCACAACTCATTAAATAGATTGTGAACTGTAGTTATTGTTATAGTACAGAGAAAAACAATGGACAGTTTGTGCCTAGTAAAGTCCCTTGAATAGTTATAAAATCAATTATCAAACTAGCCTGTCTTATTGGTGGTGGGTTTGAATAAATATTTATGAGGATGCAGAATAAGTTCTCTGGTGGTCTTCAAATAGTGCCATGAGATCAGTTACATCTATCTCAAAACACAGACGGGACCTTGGTGTTTCTGAAAGATGGCACCTCAAAAAATTAAGAACTCTTCCTGTACAAAACTAAAGCACTAGTCCAGACTGTGTTTAAATCTTTGGAACCAAAAGAACTACTGATGCTGTAAATCAGGAACAGAAATCGAAGTTGCAGGAAAAGTCAGCAGGTCTGGCAGCATCTGAAGAAGGGTCACCGTACCCAAAATGTTAACTGATTTTTTTCTTCACAGATGCTGCCAGACCTGCTGGGCTTTTCCAACAACTTCTGTTTTTGTTCAAATCTTTGGAGTATTGCTTAATCTCACAGCCTTCTGATAGAAGTCAGAAAAACAAAAATGACGTGAACTCTAGGTGAATAAAAGCTTAATGGGAGATGAATAGCAAATAAGAACAGTTCAGGCAGAATGAGAAATAAAAGTTTAGATAAAGGAATAAAGTTCAGACAGATCAGTGAAAGGAGTTTAGACAAAGATAAACCTGGTAAAGTGAAGTTGCATTTCAATCGAATGTCTCGCATTTTCAGGGTTCTGGAAGAAGCATCAGAAAAATAAATTCCATTTTCTCCATCATCCAATATAAAGCCACTGTACAAAAGCAATCATTCTAAACACACTTATCTCTTTTTTGCTTCTTCATTTGCCTCTCATCTTCTGTCCTTTGTACAACTGCAAATTTTTCTCTGCATTTCTTCACTTCATATACCCATTCCATTCCTCACTTCCTCACCCTGCTCGAACCTCATGTATGCTGAGAGTGGAATGAAGCATGAGCCGTACAAATGTTTAATGACCATTTCAGAAGCAAATTAATAGCATGACATCATTTTCCATGGGACCAAACGTGCAAATCCATGGGAATACCAAATAATCTAATAATCATCAACAAACTTGAGCAGCAAGCTATAGAAATATAGGAACCTTCCTGGACTGTATGCATCAGACATTTCAAGGCTGAGAATTTCGCTGAACTATCTGTACTTCTTCATTATGCATATTCAACCAGTTTAGGGTTAAATCACAATGATTCATATCATTCAGACCAATGAATAAATCAAGTGCCTTTATAGCTGTTTTCTCTAGGTCCTGCTCCCCAGCCAAAGCCCTCTAAAGGAGATGCCTCAGAGGAAGAGAATCTTTGATGGGACATAGGGTGGTGGCTCCTCAAGGATTAGCCTAAACATTGACACAGCAAGTGGGTTAGATAGTAAAGCTTCTGTTGGTGATTTGCCTAGCACTTTTGCTCAGGAGCAAGTCCTAGTGCCAAGGCAAGTTTAGGACTGATCTCATCAGAGCACAATGTACTCTTGTAGATCTGCTGAGGACAGAGATAGAGAATTTAGGGGCTTGGGAATGAAAAGAGAACTGCTTGCCTCATAGAAGCAGTTGTACCTACTATCAAAGACATATATACACTGTTATGTTGTGAAAAATTATCATTATACTAAATGGTATAGATTCAGAGCAGATCTGGCTACTGAAAACTAGACATCATAGGTTGTTGATGGCAGCAGCGATTGTACAATTGTAAACCATCACAATTTGCAGACATGCCTGGTCACTGGGCCCATGTCTTTAGAAATGTCCAGGGTGGGCACTGCTGTCTCTGTTTCAAGGAGCCACCAATCATAGCAAGGATGTTCCCACACTTGACAAAGAGAGAATCTGTAAGAAGCTGCTCCTCTAATCAAATACTGTCTCTCTAGTATTCTCCCAATCATATGTAGTTTTTCATCAGCCCCTATGATTAGAGGAACAGCTGGGAAGGTAAACATTGTTGTGAGCAACTCTGTGGGATTACTGTCAGCCAGTCTGGGCCATCGTGGGATGGTTGTATTAGGTGATGGAAACCGAAGCTAACACTCAAACATCAAGTACTAACTCTTGAGAAAATTTCAGGTAGACCCCTCAAAAAAAAGTCTTGATCCCTGACATTGTGCCAGATTCAAAGAAGTGGAACCTGGTATGAAGGACCAAGTTGTGTGCAACTGTCTAACAAAATTGTGGTTGTGAAATGTATTCTACTGAAACTTGCACTCTTGATGGTCATTTTAAAACGACACGTGGAGTACAAAAGTGAAAAGATTTATCTGAACCTGTCTAAAATAACTGAATCCTATTGGGACCATATTTTCCAATTCTAGGTACAGGAAGGATAGCTTTGCAGAGGGTTCAAAAGAGATTTATTAGAGTGGCTTCAGTGATGAGTGATTACAGAAAAGATGGTGTTGAATTCTGAAGGGATTTGATTGAGGTGTATAAAATAGTAAAGGTTTTGAAAGAGGCTTCATTAAACTTCATTTAAATTGAGTGGCAAGTGAACCAAAAAACTCTTAAACAAAAGGTGGTTAGGATTTGGAATGCACTCCCTCCCTGATAATATGGTGGGTTAAGAATTAGTGTTCAAAAGGAAATTGGATAAATGCTTGAAGGGAACAAATAATGGTTAGAATGGGTGGTGATGGTGGAGAATGATGGTAGGTCCGACTGGACTTTTCTTTGAAAGAACTGTGGAAGAACCAATCACCTAAGTAGCATCCTTTGCTCTTGCACTACGCTACACTATAGGACTTAAAGGGCATTGCATAAGTAACTTGACAGAAGCTGTTGAGGGTTTAAAGTGGGGGAAGGGGTATGCAAGGGTGTGTGGTAAGGCCCCCCCAGAAACAGATGAAGCACTGGGCCCTATGATTTCTGCCCCTGACCATGAGTGCAGCATATTCCTGTTCAGCATCAGAGCATCTTTCATGACCAAAGTGCTTTCCAACCAGGTAATTATATTTCAGGTATAATCACTATTGTACTATAGGAAGTACTGGAGTCAGTTCACACAGAGCATGGTTCCATTAAAGAAATGACCTGATCATATGTTGTTATTGATTGAAGTATAAACATTGGCCACAATCCTGGGATCTCAGCTGTTGGGCAATACACTGTAGAAGGAATGTCAATGTCCATCTCTAGGCTACCAGGAGAAGTGCCACCACCTTCTCACCAATACCTCACACTCACTCTATCTTGGCTAGTGTCCCCACCTTCCACCAAGGCTTATGCTTTACCACTGTCTTATTGACTGCAACATTTTCCCTCACTCACCCCAATCCTGACACCACTAACCCTGCATGCCCTCTGTGCTGTCTACTCAGTTGCTGAGGACACCTCCCTACTTGTACCAAAAATAACAGCTGTGCCACCCACTTTCATCTCGCTTAATACCTCTCCCTCTCTGTCTCTCTCACTCTCACATTCTAGGAAGAAAACAGTCCACAGTGAGGTGGAAAGAGTCAAGATGGGTGGTGGGCTGCCCAGCATTCAGCTCCTAACCCCTTATGAGGAGAGCATCTTGACTCTGACCACCCTGGGTGGCTGACTGCCCATGTTCAAGCCCAAGACT